GCAGTTAGCAGATGAAACCTTCACCCTACCAATCTGGTTATCATTCCAGGAGCATGCAGAAAACATCCAGAAGTTTTGGACACATCTTGGCTCCATCACTTCTTTCCTGGCTGAAATATTCTGTGCAGCTTAATCCCAGCTCCTGTCCCAGCCTCCCTTCCTCTGCTCCCCGTGCCCCTCCTGATAGCTGCAGCCACCTTCTGCAGGTGTGCTCCTGCTGTCCCAGTGCACAGCTGTGGGGAAGGGAGGAAGGAAGAGGTGTTAAATGTGACTGGGGTAGGTGCTGGGAGAGCCTAGGGAAGTGCTGCTGCATACTGGGACGTGCTGGTGGGGGATTTGGGGGATGTGGGGTCTGCAGGGGTGGCTGAGCTGGGTATAGGGTGTAGGACAGCGCTGCCTACCACTGGGGGACTTGTGCAGTTTGGGCTGCCTGGGGTGCAGGTGACACACTGGGAGAGGCCATCAGAGAGGCCAGGAGCAGCTCCCCAGTTAAACAGGGGGTTTGGGGAGCCGAGGTTCAGCTCCCAGCCGTGCCATAGGCTCTCTGGGGGACTTGAATAGGTAACCTTATTTCACTGTGCCTCGGTTTGCTGTCTGTAAAATACAGAAAGTAGAGCAAATGTGCTTTCCATGGCCCTTGGGGCTTTGTGAGGATGAAAGCTTTGGGGTGCAGGGATGTGAGGGGCTGGATAGCTCGGGGAGCCCAGGCAGAGGGGCTGCCTTTGGCAGGGGGCTCTGGCAGTGCCGGGGCTGTGCGCGGCGCTCAGCCAGACGTGCGGCCGTCTGACCTGTCTTTATCGAGCCTGCTGCTCATTGTGGTGAAGCTTTCTCCTCTGCCTACCATAAAAAAAAGATGTAAATTGGAAGGGTACAGCACTTCTCATAAAAACTCTGTGCATTTATATTTAAACACTGAAGTCACACCACTCCCTATTGAAAAGCCCTGGGCTCCATTGTTGCACATGACTAGCGCAGAAAGAGGCCATTATACTCGGCAAAAATGTATTTTCCTTGCTCATTTTCCTGGAAACAAAACCTCCTGAGCTCTGGTGGCACAAGCCTCACCAAATGGTATTGATAAAGAGGGAGAAATTGCACATGGCACCGAATCACCGGCTCCGTCTGAGAGGGAAGGAATAAAGCTCCGAAATATGGCAGCAGATGCCTGGGAGATTGCCTTTGTGGCAAAGCAGAGCAGTTTACCAATAAAGCTCTCTCTGGCTGTTATAGTTGTGTTCAATAGCAATGACAGCTGTCAAGGAGCTCAGGGACTTGCTGCGATGCCTTCAACATTTTAATCACTCCAACAAAGGCACGGAAAAACTGTTTGTGTTTGGAGCATTGTTATTGTCATAGGATGTTTAAAAAGAATTGGTAATTATTATTTACCTGAAAATGAGAAGGAGCTTTTAATTGTTGCAATACAGCTCTTGTTTCTGCAAACAGAAAGGACAGGTCCTCTTTCATTTTAATTTTGAGCAGTTAATTGGTGAAATACATAGCCCCTTTTACTATCACACTCTCAATCTTCAGATGATGATCTATTTTTCCCTGTGAAGCTCAACTGACAGATTTTAATATTCCATTAACTTTACAGTTTTACTATAACATCGCATCTTGAGACACTGGGGCACTTTGATTCAAACTGCAGGAAATTAATTTTCTCTCTTTTATTATACCACCAGTAACTACCTTAAAAAAAGAAACTTTAAAAGTCCTGGTGACATGAGTATAATATGTAAAAATGACAGGAAGAATTATGAATTTTATTTCCATAAGAGAAGGAAATGGGGGGGGGGGGAAGTTGTAATTATAGTGCTGAACCATTGTATTCAATCTGAAATTAAGATACTTTTCTAAGACATGAAATTCACACAGTCAAGAAATTGTCATGATGGAAATCTTTGCAGTTGAAAGGTGTTAACTGTTGTTAACCCCTTTCCTTGCAGCCAAAATGTTTTGACTGAATAGCTCTGCAAAAGAGAAAAAAAAATTACAAAGTTTGGTGTTGGGAGGACTGAACTTTTTGATCTTGTCTAAAATGACCACAGCTCTTCCTGGGAAGGAAAAAAAAATATATCTGCTTGACTTGAAATTTAACTCCCATCTGAATGAGAGTTCGGTTTCTTGGTAAAATTCTATTATGGTAAAATCTGAAATATGTTGAAATACTTGGTAGTTATAGCTGTGTCTTAGCTTTTTTTTTTATAGGTAAATATAGAATACATAGGTGAATATAAAATATTGCTTCATCTATATTAAGCAGGAGTATATATTTTATTATGAGTATTTATATATTCCTTAAACATAGGCACAAAATGGTTACAAGTTAAAATACTGGAAGAGCTCATTGATCTTCACATGTCAAAAAAAAGTAACAATAAAAATAAAATTAAAATGTGTTTTATGCAATTTCCCCAGACAGCAGAAATGCTATGAAGTCAGGAGGCTTCCTGGCCATTTTCCACACTTCTGGTCACACTCATCTCTGCTGCCACACTCGGATCTCTGTCCCCTCCCAAGGCACCATTCTCTGCCCCCGAGCTGGGAGTTCCAGGGGCAGGGCCCAGGTGTGGGTGCAGTGGGTGCTGATCCCACAGCAGGGCACAGCAAGGCAGAGCTGGACACAGCTGGACACAGCAAGGCACAGCAGGGCACAGCAGGGCACAGCAGGGCACAGCTGGACACAGCTGGGCACAGCAAGGCACAGCAGGGCACAGCAGGGCACAACTGGATACAGCAGGGCACAGCAGGGCACAGCAGGACACAGCTGGACACAGCTGGACACAGCAGGGCACAGCAGGGCACAACTGGATACAGCAGGGCACAGCAGGGCACAGCAGGACCCACCACACCATGTCTCGCCTGAGCACAGCTGCCTGCAGATGTGTCCTCAGCTCATTACCCTGTCCAAGGCTCCCTCCAGCCAGGCTCTGGAGCAGCCAAGGGCACACTAAAGAAGGCTCTAGGCTGAGCAGCCAAGGGCAGACTAAAGAAGGCTCTAGGCTCAGCAGCCAAGGGCAGACTAAAGAAGGTTTTAGGCTCAGCAGCCAAGGGCAGACTAAAGAAGGCTCTAGGCTCAGCAGCCCAGGCTAAAGGGGGACCCTGCCCTTCTCAGCCTGGGGCTCAGGGACCCTCGGTGCAGCCAAGCCCCACACTTGGCACCACACCAGCACCTGCCCATGGTGCCACCAGCTGCCACCAAAGCCCAGCAGGGTCTGCAGAAAGGTGAGGGAAGCTCGTGTGGGACTGGGGGATGTTTTGGCCCAGGTGCTCAGGAGGGGAGATGGGGGTCAGAGGCTGGGTGGAGAACAGGAACCACACAGGATGAGCAGGGGTCAGGACTGAGGAGAGAGAAAAAGGCAGTGCTGTTAGGCCAGCACTTCACTGGGGTGATGCAGAGCTTCCTGAGGAAAGGTTAGCAAACACCTGTGGGAGAGGCATCCTGATCTGGGGCAGCAGTCTCAGAAGAGAACTCTTGGTTTGTCTTATTTTTAATAATAAAGTGAGTAAAATGGCACAAGATGTTTGGATTTAGGGAAACCAATCCAACCAAGAAGTGGATGAGAAAGTGGAAGTTTCTGAAATGCAGTGGTGTGACTGGTATTACTGGATCATGGAGGAACACATATGGGAGGATTTAAAATGTCTTCCTTCAGTTTGCTTTTTAATTTCAGCTCAAACGGGGATTTCCAGGCTCCCATGCCATAGAATCATTTTTAAAAAAGGGTTACACACATGAAGGTTTCTCTCCATTTACCTTAAATTTACACAGAAAGGACTTTCCCATGGAGTATTGTGTAGAGTTGCACAAGGCTGGGATGTCTGCACATCATCAAAGACAGCAAGTGACATAATTGCTGTGCAATTTGTGGCTCAGGTTGAGAAGGAGCTTCAATTGTGGGGGAGGGATCCTGCCAGCAGAGAGGCTTTGGTTGCAAAGCAGTCACTGGTTCTGCTTTAAAGTGAGAGCAGCTTGGGGAAATGCTCATCCACAATAAGGAAGTGAGATTCTGCTATGTTTTTGGAAGGCAGGAGAAAATATCAGCATAGCTTCTGAGGAGATTCCAAATAAACACTTGTTCTGTTTTACTGGAATTAAGGCAAATAAAGACTAAATAATTTGAAGGTTCTGTCTTCTCTTTTTCAAAATAGTAATATCCTAATAATATTGTGTTCTCTTAGCTCTATCCTAATGAAAACTTTGCTCACCATCTTAATTATTTAATGAATTCTTGTTTACACATAATTAAAATAACCGAAGAACATATTTTGCTCATACTTTCTGTGACACCTAATCCCTTGGATTAGGGATGACCTGGGAGTTACATCTTCTGTCTGCTCTTTTCACACAGCTTTTAGCAACCAATCCCTGCACCTTTCTATCCATGGGTGAAGGATTAGTCATGTGGAGAGGAACCTGTGCAAAGTAAGCAATGTGACACTAATATTCCCTGCTGAGATAATAACTCCACTTTCACAATAGGATGAGTGGAGAGGTAATTGAGATCTCAGAGGAATTAGTTACACTCACATTGCAGGCAGTGACTCTGGCACTGGTAGCTTTTTGTTACCATAACAAGGTAGCTTCAGCATAACTTCCATGTGTTTCATTGGAGGACAAGCAGGGATTTATGAGCTTCTCAGTGCTACAACATAGTATGAACATATTGGCTGCCTGAGAATTCCACTGAGATCTGGCAGGTAAATTTAGGCATTTAGAAACAACTTGCCCAATGAAGTCTTCTGCCCCTAATATACGTGCTTCCCATAGCCTGAGAAATTCTAGCATGAAAGTGTGGATTAATCGATATAAATTCTCAGATAAAAGCTGTCATTCACTTAACCAGCCCAGGAGCCTTCTGTGGTGGCTCTGTATGTATTACTGATATGAAATGTTGTCTGTGATGTGATAAAGGAGAGCAGAAGATTCTTCCATGGCTGTGTCACAACACAGATCTGCTGTCAACTCCGTGCTGCTTCAGCCAAGCCAGCACAGTGGAGAGGAAGGATAAATGCAGATGTTTAACAGTAGAGAAGTGGTTTTAAGTTTTGACTGAATTTGGGGTTTGAGACAGTGGTTTTAAGTAGCTCTGACCTATCCATGCATTTTCTTTCATAATTGGAGATCCAGCTACTCTTTCAGCTTAATCCCTGTGAAATGCTGCAGTAAATTCAGGTCATCTTACTATGGTAATTCTGAGACTGGAAATGTTACTCTGTTCTGCTTTGATAACTAGTGAAGAACCATCTTTAGTGAAGAGGTATTGCATTTTTACTCTCCATCATAAGTTCAGATCCTTCTCACTTTACGTGCTAGAGCTGTCACATGCCTGTGTGTCCCCTGAGGAGCTCCTTGCTCAGCACCACAGCCACCACTGTGCAGGATGCTAGCAGGACACCTGTGTTTTCACCATTTTAGTATCAACAGTACAAGCACCTGAAAAGATACAAGTATTTATTGCTTCCTTTGATTTATTTCTAAATGTCTGTTGTGAGGCAAGTGTGCTGCAAAGGTGCTTTGGAGCCTGAAGCTTCCAGCATTGACAGAGCTGCAGAGCCTGGCCAGGGCAGTGGGAAAGCGTGTCCCTGCTCCACATGGGGCTGCTGCCACACTGTCCCCTGCCACACTGTCCCCTGCCACCCTGTCCCCTGCCACCCTGTCCCCTGCCACTTGCCTGTTGCCATGGAGAGCAGATTTGGTCCTGCACACTCATGGGTCCCGTGTGGCTCTTCCCTGCCAGGGTAATCTGCTGTCACTGTGGTCATCACAATAACTGAGCTTTTTCTTCTCTTTTTAATATACTCTTCTCTGTACCACATCTCGTTTTCAGCTGCCTGGATACACTCTTGGTGTCAGCAGCAGGATGTGATACTGCTCATTTAAACTGGGAGACAAAACCCTGATGTGATCTGCTCACAAAATTGCTCAGTACTCCTGTATATTCTGCAAGGTTACTTAGGGTACATACGGCTCTGTTTCACCTTTTGTCTTTAAAGTGATGTAGGATGAATATCTTTCAAATGGAAAGACAGGCAACTGGAAAAAAAGGGGGAAAAACAAGTAACAAGATCAAAGACGTAAATAGAACAAAATATGCACAAGAGATCTCATCTGAGATCAAAGATGTGAATGTAATTACCATGAATAAGACGTGCAGAGCCCACCAGAACAGAATGGTTTGTGTGCCTGGAGAATTCTGCAGAAATAAACCATTCTCTGGGAAATGGAGCGCTCCACAGAGTGACGAAAGGACATTTATTCTGCACTGGAGGGGGAATAGCAGCAAACCCACCATTACAGCAGGGCTGCTCATTGCTGCCTGACCCTGTGCAGGGCTGCAGCCATCCAAGTGGCTCAAAAGAAATCTCTGAACCTTTTATGTTAAAAGATCCTGATCTGGGGCAAAAAAAAACAAACCCCAAACCCCAGCTCTTTAACCCTGGGAGGTGTGTTGTTCTTAGGCAGAGATTTTCAAGGGCAAATGTAGTGATTGTGTTACAAGTGCAGTTGGAAGAAAAACAATTGCTTCTGTTAAGCTTAACACATAGAGGGATTGTGCTGAGCATAAATAATTTCTTTTCACTAACCCTGTTTGGTCAGGGACTGTGATTGTTTTTTTTTTTATTTTTATGGCTGTTATGTACACGTGTCCACAGGTCCTAACAGAATATAGAAACACAATAAATAAATAAGGGAAGTGTAGAAGAGAGGGTAAGAAAAGTTACAGTGACTGAGCTGAAATTCCAAACTGCTGGTTCTTCTTTATGAGCTGTATGCTGGTCACAGATAGAAGAATATTGTTTGATTTTTAGTGGAGTTACTAAATAAATGCTACTAAAAGTAGAAAAGGAAAAAGAAATCTTTCTTTTTCTTTTTCTGATAATGCAGATCTGGATGCTGACCACTCCTTCCTGTGTTTCCAGATAAGATGTGCCTTTGCCATAAGTATCTCAAACCTGATGAGAGCATGAAAACTCAGTTTTAGGAGCAAATTTTGGTTTACTTCCTCTCTCTTTCTGTTGGCATGAAGCAGAAATTCAGACACAGGTCTACATATCAGGCTTACTTTCACTGGGTCAAAAAGGAATCCTGTATGCTGAGCCTACTGTAAAGCTTATTTTCACAGAAATATTACTAGGACTGTGTTTAGCATGGAGGTGATTTCAGCAGTAGCCTAGTCCATCTTTGTACAGAAATACCTCCTGTAGGGAACCTGAAAAGCACATGCAGAAATGAGAATTTCCACTCCATTCTTCTGACTGCTTTGTTTTTGGGAAGAGCCCATTGCTGTCCATAGGTTGTGTTGTCTGAGTTTGAGTCAAACAGTGGAAGTACAGCCATTGTCTGTGTCAGGTCTCACGTGGATCTGTGAGCTGTACAGCCTGGGATGGAGATCCTGCTTTTCCTCCTCACTGCAAAATCCCCATCAGCAGTCCTGGTGTGGCACTGAACGCCTTCAAAGGGTCATTTCTGCACAAGGCACATTTCCTGCTCCCATGACTAACAGGTGGGCTGATTCTGCTATAGATACATTTTGCAGGTACTGTAGAATTTTTGTGGTGTAACAATAAATTTAAAACTGTATCGTTTTCATCAGGCAAAAAATTAGTATTTTTAGTAAAAAATGTGCAGCTTCTCCTGTTTTTTTTTTTAGGAAGAATAGACCCCATTTGTCCTTCAGTCATATCCCCAAGTTCTTTATGAAATAGAGGGATAAAGAGTAGAGGTGTAGAGATAGAATTGAGAGAACATTCTGTACTTTTGAATGCAATGTTACTTCATAAAAAAAGATCTTTCCAGTCTTTAGGGTAAAATGATGTATGAGGTATTAATATTATTAGTTACTGGCAGATTGGAGACTAAGTTTATTTTGTGATGTTCATGACTTTCTGCTCTCCTGCAGGCCTTTGCTTTGACTTCAGTTCTCTCAGGAATCTGTAAACTTACTCATAATATGAATTTCTATTTTTATCTTAATTTTTTTTCATTTTTTCTTTTTCTTTTTTTGTTTTTGTTTTTTTTTTTTTTTGTCTTGGAGGTGTTTCTGGCATTCACATGCTTCCATAAGAACAAGGATGCCCATGGCATGGGAAGCCTGTGTTAGGTGAATCTGCTTGAGAAAGGGATTGGATAAAATGACCTCCACAGGTCCCTGCTGTGGCTCTCTATTTATAACTCCTCAGTCTCTTCATTTGGATACAGGTGATAGAGTAATAGAAACCCCTGTCCTGTTTATATTATTTTATATTTATTAGAATGTTATCCGTTCTACAAAATGGGGTCCCCACAGCAAAGGTGCTCAAACTTTGTAAGTGCTTTAGTCTAGTATATTTACTGATTTTCTTTAAATAATACTAGGGAAATTGGTTCAGCTTAGAGCTTAAATGTCAAAGGCAGGCACACAAATAATTTTGCAGTCAAGAGAGGTGCTTTTATACTCAATACTTAAGTTTGAGTGCTTGGCTGCATAAAAGCCATCCTCCTGATTTTCACTAAAACAGTACAGGGAAAAGCACACAGTTTCTGCAGCAGAGAGATAGGTGCATGTGAATCTCTACCTTTTACAAAGCCTTTGAAATTCTGATGCTTAACTGTAAGCATTGATGCAGAGTTATCTCTCAAAACACAATTTACTGCTTAGCAATGAAGGAAACTGGATTTTGGACAAACAGCATCTTGCACAATGACCAAATAGTTATTTGGATCTTTTTTGCTCTGTTTTGGTTTTTGTTTGTTTTTTTGGTTTGGTTTTTTTTGGACTGAGCCGTCTAACCTATTTTCTGGACTAATACTGACTGAAGAGAAGCTCTCCTCCCCATCACCTCACCCTGCTATGCAAGTTTTCAGTCAGTTCAAATAATTTATTCTTACCTGAGAGCTGCTGTAGCTCATGGCAACTGTGGGCAGCCATCAGGGGATCACACGGCAGCTTAAAGGCAGCATGGCAAAAAAAGAGCCATAGATACGTTCTCAACTCTCCAAATATATATCCCTTTTTCATTTTTTTGGTATCATTGCAGCCAGGTTATATTAAATATATCTAAATTGTAAAATTAAGGTTACTGTGCCCCAAAGCAGAAAGAGCATGTTATGGGACACTCTGGGCTTGTCCCAGCCCTGAGAAGGGAGCCAGGATCACTCCCTCACCATTGTCAGGGCACATGAGCTCATCTTCCCTTTTTCAAAAACACATTCTCTGTCTTTTCTTGCATCTAAAAAGTTCTACACATCCACAGCATTTAAATAAATGAGAGCTGGGTTTCAGTACAGGATCAGCACAGGTCAGGCCCTTGTTTTGTGGGTGGCAGTGCTGTCTCTGCAGCACAGCATCTCCTGTTTGAACTGGCAGTGTCAAAACATTTTGATCTGCCCTGTCCCTAAAGTTAAAACCTTCCTTGCAGCTCCAGCAATGAAAACAGTTTTACAGTGAGTGTTGAGATAATGCAAACCTTAGTTTAAATGGGAATCAGACCTGGAGTGTGTGTATCGAAGATTATTTGAGTTCCATTCAGCACTGTTTATGGGTTCTCAGGAGTTGCAGAGCCTGTTAAAAATGAAAAAAGCTCATGGAAAGGGGTTTATTTTTTCTACTCTGCCAAAAAAGAAATAAAGAGGAAAACATATTTGTGCCTGTTCAAAGGCTGCCCAAGGACAGCTTTCATTCTTTGTGACCCAGTTACATTAAATGCTTTCACAGGAGCTCCTCAGATACTTATTAAAAAAAAAAAAAAAAAAAAGAAAAAAGAAAACACAGATCAGTTCTTCTGATCTTCACTCTGAGGACACATCCAGGCTTGGAGCCATTGACAGATATCTTGCATCCCTTGTTACCTGAACAAAAATTAAACAAAGCAAGAGATGAGCAGCACTGGATGAGAAATTAACTCTGTCCATGGAACTATTAAATGCCATAGTTTAAGATCATTTTGTTTTTCAGGAAAAGTGCCATCAGTTGTAACTTTGGCCAGCCTAAGCTGACCTGTTGCTCTTGCCCTCTTTCTCTGGTATTTTTTTCCTCTCTTTTTGGCACAATGTGAGTCCTTTGAGTATTTTGTCTGGTATCACCAGACCTCCCCAGTCCAGCTGAAAGTTTTCACTGGCTTTTGACAGAAGGTAGGAAATTCTGCATTGGATATAGAGTGACAATGGTGCTTGTCAGACAGGAGCCCAATACCTTCTGAAACTGATGGGCTTCAGTGTGCCCTGTGGCTTGAATCCTGACAAGGTGTATACAGGAGCTGATCCCTCCACAGATATTTTTGATAAATGAAGTGTTACAGACTTTGTTGCATCCTACCTAAACCCCAAATTCGTCTGTGCTCTGAGGGACAAAAACCAAAGCTCTTTCTGCTACTTCTAGGTATTGCATCTGACTAATGGTGTTTGGTGCTATTTGAGGAACATGAAGCTGGAGGCATTTCTTGGGAGTTGTGGTATATCCCTTTCTACGTGCCAGGGCTTGCAGAAGTGCAAGAGAGTACACAGAGCTCCAGAGAGCACCAGCAGCAGTAGTGCATGTTACAGTGACAGAAAAAGCCTTCTGTGGCAACTTGAACTTCTTTTGGATATCTTCTTGTCAGCGACTGAAGTAGTTGCAAATATTTTCTTTTTGGTGGTGTTGCTTTCTAATGAAGGAAAAGATACAAATTAATAAAATCTGCTGTAGTTGCTTGCTGTGATTTGAAGAAGTTAAGATATTTGCTATCCACTATACTAATTCCCCTGACACTGTGCCCTATTAGATTTGCCAAAATTAAAAAGATTTTGAAAAATTCAATGTTTTCTTGATACACTGAATTCTTGTGTTTTCCCATCACATGAATGTTGAGTCATTGATATTTTATGTGTCATACAGAATGGTTGAGATATCAGAGAAAACGAATGATTTGCATAAGCATCCCAGAGGCATTTTTGGCTTCCTGGCATGCAGAAGCTTTAGCCTGTTGTCTTCACACAGAGTCTGCTGTAATGCTGCATGCCAGAGATGATAATTCACTTTGTGAAACATGATCAGAAGAACCTTTATGGAGGTGTGACAGATGCAGCTGTAGCCATCACCTGAAGCACTTTTCCATAACCTTAAAAATGTGTCTCCTGATTTTCTCTCTTGATGACTTTTTTAGGTATTGTTGAGTGGCAGTTGTCGTGGGCAATGAAATTCCTAAGAGAGCAAGGAAATAAAAAGGTTAAAGTGCCCTCAGCCACAGTTTCAGAACTTAATTGGACACTAGCTACTCGACTGTGAGCATTCCCCCAAAGAATGGTGGAGTTCTTGCAGGCTTCAAACAATGGAGATGCGTGGGCTGATGCCATCTGCAGCCTAGGGCTGGTGGAACAAAAAGATGTTTGAAGAAGGGGGAAATTCTCAGAGATATGGGAATGATCTGAAAGTAATCAATCATCAGGGTGACATAAATCACAACACACAAGAGCCCACAGCCAGGAGATGTCAAATACCGCCCGCAGCGCATCAGTCTCTCTGGCATCATCACTTTTGTGTGTTGTGCCACTGCTCTTTTGTGGGCCATCAATTTTGTGGGGCGATGAAACCCAAGAATGCCGGGCTGGCCCTCGCTGGCTAATGCAGCTTTATGATTGCGCACCCTAACGTGCACTTGGGGCGCATTCATCCCGTGACCCGAGCGAACAATCGATTGTGAGCCGGGTGCCAAACCCGCCAGATGTTGCTTGATCTCATAATTACGTTAGTTCTGTTGCTCCAGTGCAGCAGCATCAAAACAATACCAGCCAATCTGGGGCACAAAGAGAGGCTGCAGCTCTCATGTGGTCATCTGGTCCACGCTTGACATTTTTGCCTAAAGCTCTCAGATGTTAAACTTAATTTCTCTTCCTTGATTATAAGCAAAATGATCTGCGCACAATATTAGAAAAACATTTATCAGCTGGAAAACAGCAAAAGGCATGGCATAAACTCATATAAATGTTAATGAAAGGCAGACAAAATTGAGCAATAGTATTGTATTCTTTAGGCTTTTATACACTTTTACTTAAGAGATTCTGGGAGAGGAGGTCAGAACAGGATCGAAGGATAAGCACAAAGAATATTGTTTTGAAATTTACACTAACTCTTCTTATTGTTTAAAACACTGGTCTGGAAGTTCTGTTAAATGGAACAAGCATAATCCTCTAACTTGTTCTGATATTTATCATCAGATCAATATAAAGCATAAATCTCTTTATTTCAATAGAAGGGCTTCATCTTTCCTCTGTTGTCCGTAAAAAAATCTCATTAAGTTTTGTCTGCCTAGCTCCTTCCAAGAAACTGTACAAAGTGGTAAAACAAAGATTCTGGTGGTTGTCTAAAGAGGTCTATTCCTCTGAGTTAGGGTGATGCTATCTGGATGGTCTGCAGGGCAGTCTGAGCACAAGGCTCCAGGTCCCAGGACAAAAATACTTGAATGCAGAGGATTCAAATTATCCTTCATTTTGTCACATAGACCTTTAATTTGCTAACATAGAGCTGAAATACAGCAAGGGTGTTTTCATGCCGTTTTTGTCAGCCCTCAGCCCCCCAGCTCACCAGTGGGGACATTGCCCCTTTCCTTCAGCTGCCTTCCAGCCTACAGAGCTGCAAGACCTGTGCTTGGGCTGCTCAGCACTGGGGCTGTACCTGGCAGCAGTAGGGCTCTGCACAGCCCGCTGCTATTTTCTGCTTTTTCAAATCAATGTGGGGAGTTCTCATCAGCAGCAACTGTTAAATTACAGCATTTTCCTTCCCTCTCAGTTGTGAGCTACAACACATAGCTCAGACTAGGCACAAGGAAAATTGTAGCACAGGACAGGAACTATCAGCTAGAAAGATTTTCTAAACAATAAAAGTTGGCCTCAGCGTGCCCTACTAATATTCTCCATCTTGCAGTATTTTCATTTCAACTAAGAATATAAAGTCATACCACATATAAGAGACTTTTTATTTCCTGAACTACTACAGTTTTTTAGCATAGATCTGTGGGCAAACATTACATCCTAAAGTTTCAAATAATTTCCACCTTTGCATTTCATATCTGATCTTTAATAAATGTTATTTTACACAGTGCAATTAGACCTCAGGATGTAAAACTCAGAGTAATACAGAACCTTTTTGCAGAGCTGGGTATTTTCAGGGTGCACTGACATTGAGATTCTGATCTAACTAATGGCACAAATCTGAAGCAATTTCCTAGAAATCAGTACAATTACATCAGCACAATCCCCATAAAACTAGGATGAGAGTCAGACCTTTATTTCTTTTCCAGATAGAACTAAATTTTAGTATTTAACATATGGCAAACTTGGTTATTATTTTACCATAAGCTTATGCAGGAAAAAGAGCGTGCTACAGTAAAATGGAAAAAATTCACCTCAGGTGCTGTATCATGAAATCCAAGGAAGTGACATCAAAGATTCAACCTGGCCCATTTACTTTTAAACTGTTTTGTTTAAGTATCAGATTTTATGTCTGGAGATTTTCTCTGCTCTGTGAATTTTATTCCTTTTTGTGAGCATAAAACTGAATAAGGATCAAGAAGAATTTATTTTGTCGCCTCGGTACCAACATAAGACTCTCATGTTGGCCCCTGAAATTCTTTTGACAGTTTTGGGTGTCTGGTATGGAGCAGCTGCACAGTGGGGTCAGCGTGCACAGCAAATGTGGTGCAGGGTGGTTTAAGCCAGACAGGAGAGAGTTGTTTGCTCATGGGGAGCCCTGGCTCTCTTACTGCCAGAGCAGCCTTTTTGTTCCAAGGACAATCGTCTGCACTACCTGGTCACATTGAGACAGGTGTAATTTTGTGTGGGATAACGTTGTCTCCTGTCACTGCTCTGTCTGGAAGGGAGAGGTGGGAGTGCCAGTGCTGTCTGGGCAGGCAGAGGTGCCGTGGTGTCTCCTCACAGCCCGTGAAACCACAGCCTGCTGCCAGCTCTGCTGCCTTCCTGGGCTGACAAGTGTTGCCTTTGATTCATTTCACTGCTTCAGAAGAGTGACAGAAGATGCTTGGGAAACTACAGGAAAACTTCCAAACTCTTGTGGGAGAAGGAACTAAAGGGACACAAAAAGCCTTGTTTTGGTAAATGGGAACCAATGGGGAAGCACACCAGGGACAGGTGATGTGGGGACAGTGGAGAGGTGGCTCTGGGCTGACCTGTTGCCTGCAGGCAGCAAAGTGCCCTGGAAGTCCTTGGGACATGGAGGTCTCCTTTGGGACTCTCTGCCATGGGCCAGCCCTCACCCCTGTCCTGCTGCTCTCCAGAGCATTTACCTGGACTTCCAGAGCTGGAGAAGTTCAGAGGAGTGTGGAAAGTTTAGTACAAGTAAGATGTGTATCTCTCATGCTAAATTTTGTTCCCAGTCCAAAACTGAAAACATTTTCTGGGAAGAAGTTAACTGGAACTGATGAAGTTTCTTTTCATGGATTATTTAAGCAGTACAAGATGTTGTTAATGCTGAGATTCTTCCATGTTATTTGGGAAAGTATGTCTGATTATGTAAATTAAAAGTTGCTGCTTAAAAATATTTTGCTTGAGAGATTGCAAAGGCAACACAGTAAATGAATTAAGATCAGAGAGTCTTGTTCAAGTGAGAAGATTGCATAAGCAACCGCATGTGTTATTGAAAAATACATACTGTTTACAACGTATTCTTGCAAGATTCTTAAATATTTCACTTTGAGGTTTGCTTGATATAAAATATTGCATTTGTTCAAGCTGTCTCACAGGCTGGGACCTAAGCTGATTTGCAGCTACATGCAGATTAAAACCACTCTGCTGTCCCACTGCAATTTTGGATTTAATTTGGTTAGTTTCCGTCTTTTTAAGAGAAACAAGAGAGTTTTCAAACCAACAGGCATTGACTGCTTACCTAATTAAAAATGTATCCATCTGCTGGTGGCTGACTTGTTATTCAAAGCATACAGATCTAAGTAGGTTGATTTATTTATGAAGACCTTATGACACTGAGAGATATGCACTCAAAAACATGCAAAAATAAATGTGGTTGCAGATGGGTAGACACACACAGATCTTTATGGGGTTCTAAATAACAGATAGAGAGAATTTGGAAAATGTGCTTTAAAGGGAAGATCCTTTTATGTTGCTTTCACGTGTTTAACATTTAGAGCTCAAATAACAGAGCAGCCAGAGAACATGTGAGATAACTCTAGTCTAAATATCCTATAGTGCCTTTTAAGTTGCGACAATTTTTTTCTGAAAGCTTAGTGTGAGTGATAGACTCTGAAGCAGATGCATTTTAAGCAATGTTTTATTTAGAGAACACTTTAAAGGGAATTTTAATTAAAGGAGAAAAAAATCATTAGCACTCACATACACCATGCATTAGAATCAGGGTAAATACTGTCTTCTTATATTTGATTTCATTGGTATATTGGTAAATGTCTCCCAAATCAAATTTCTATGCTCAAGCTTTGGAAACTTCAAGTTCCAATGGATTCATTCTCAATGCTATAAATATTTTTGCAATCCCCAGGTAAAATTTATTCATCAGTTTATGAGCTCTAGGAACTTCCAAGTGTGATGAAGCCATCGGGTGTTCCCACGTGGATGAGGAGCTGCTGGCATCATGCCTCACGACATTCCTGGTGCAATTCCACTGCTGTGGGTCTTCTGACATGGA